ACATAGAGTTCTAATTTTTTTCCTTCCTTTCATTATTTCCTTCTTCATTTCCAACCTTACTTTCATGCTTTCCGTTTTGCTGTATAACCGCCAAATTTCGTTTTTTTCTTTCTCGTTCATTTTCTTTTTACTCTCTCTTTTGTTTATCTCTTTTCTTTAAATTTCCTTTTTTTTTAATATTTTCTTTTCTTTTGAAGATCTCCTTTTTTCCTTGCTTCATTCTTGAACATTTTCTTATTTGTACCACCTTATAATTACTTTCTCTTTGCCGTCTTTCATTCTGTCCTTCTCTCTCTCCGTCCGTCCGTCCATTAGTCTCTCTTTCTCTCTCTCTCTCTCTCTCTCTCTCTCTCTCTCTCTCTCCATTCGTCTCTATCTCTCCCTATCCGCCTGTCTCTCTCTCTCCATCCAATCCGTCTTTCTTTCTCCCTGCCCCCGTCTGCTCGTCCGTCTTTCTCTTTCTCTCTCTCTCTCCGTCCGTCCGTCTCTCTCTCTCTCTCTCTCCACTCATATCTCTCTCTTTTTCACTCTCTTTCTGTCCGTCCATCTGTCAGTTTCTTACTCTACGTCCGTCTCTTTTTCACTCTCTCTCACTCTCTGCGTCCAACTCTCTCCCTCTCTCTCCCCTTCACTCTCTGTCTGTCTGTCTGTCTGTCTCTCTCCGTCTTTTTGTATATTCGCTTAGTTACAAGTAGTTCCCGACAAGCCACGTACACAGGGTCGAATCGTTCTCATTTCTTGCGTATTCTATTGCTAAGTAGAAAGTTCCACCCAAACAGCCTCTTCCCCTAAACTGTTACTGTGAAACAGATTCCTGAGACACACTCCTTACTTCTTCCATTTATGTCGTTGCAACAATCTCATTCAATAACTCTCTACCTTAAGTGGCTCTTGAGCCTTGCATTTCAACACTAGTATAAAAAAATACGTTTTAGGTTACAGATTCATCCATTATATAAACCCGCTATTTTTGTCTCTTATTCGTTAATTTTCTTCTTTGTCATCCATTTTGTTTTTGTTTATTTCGCCTTTATTTTTCCTATCTGTTATAATTTCTCTTTCCTTCTCGAATATTTTTTTCTTTGCCTTCTCCATTTTGACATCTTCTCTACGTCCTTTTCCACCGTAATTACGCCCAGCCTCTCGTTGAACTTTTGTCGTTTATTTTCAATATTATTTTCTTTCTTTCCTTATCCTTCTATTTTTTTTCTATTCTTTCTCGTTGATTTTTCTTTTCTTTTTCAACAACGCACACATTAATGTCCACTTACAAAGCGCATATTGTCATTAAAGTCATCTAGAAACAATTCAGTTTCATGCAGAATCCTTAAAAAATATTTTCTGCCCGAATATTGTATAGCCTCTCACAACAGTAAACCATCGTTATCCATACACCAGACGACTTTTTAAGCATACCCCCAACTCCTTAAATTTGGACTGATATTTTCATCTCCATTTCTTGTGCTTTTTATCGCAATTTTCAAATCGCTATTCCATGATCGTTATGTAAACGATATGATTAAAAAAAAAAAAAACTCCTGCAGAACTTGAATACTCATCCTTATCTTCGAAAACAGGTTTATCAACGTTTAACTGATTAGGTTACGATTAATAACTAGCATATGTTATCTATTTACTCTTTACGTCTTCGAACAACATTCACCGCCATTTTTATTTTGTTTTACATTTTACACTATTTATATCAAATTATTCAAATATCTTGTTAATTTTTTATGAGTATATATTTCGTTTTCGTAACCATCTTAGTAACGTCTTTATACAATCGTTAAAAATCGACTATTCCGACTTATTGGGATTTTATGTTCTGTCTACACATGGAAAGAGTAAAATATTAGGAGGTTCCAAGTCTGGTATTAATCTCCATCTTCAGGTTAGCGGTTAAGATGTTTAGCCTTACCTGCCGCCAAGGTCATTCCCAGGTAAAGTCTGCGATTCTGTTTTTCACAGCAGTTTTATAAATTGTTTCTATTCGATCAGAAAAAAACCTTTGGAAGCGAATTTCTCGTAAATGCTTTGGTTGAAGTCTTGAGCTTAGAGTGAAAGCTGACCAAAATTAGTACATACGGACATAAGCAGTTATATTTTTGGTTAGCAAATATTCAGTCTCAGAGTCATACATTATTCTTAAATTACTTAATTTTAATCAGCCATTATTAAAGGGATTTTAACTGAAAAGGCAAGGCAACGTTCTAAATCTATAGTGACATTTCAATTTTGTATAAGCATCAACCGTCGACAGTTGATTCCGGAATATTTCTCGACGTCAAGAAATTTACTTTTACTATTGTAATATTCGAAATTTTCTTGGCACTTTTACAAAAATTTTGTGGCCTCGGCGAAAATTGCCAACATCTGCTTGTGTCAGCGTGTGTAACATTTTATACAGTATTTGCGATCCATTTAGATAGACAAGAAATTTGCAATGTCCCAGATATCAAATCATATTAAATTCCAACGTAGAATACCATATACTGCTCTTATAAGAAAACCTATTCTCTTTGAGTGTATATTATCGTTATTATATATATATCTTTTTTAGAAAGTAAGCATAATAAAAGTCAGGAAAAACTTCGTTACAAAATTAAATAAAAGTGCTTAAAAGAGAAAAGTAGAAGTGAACATTAGTTCCCATATGTACCAATATGCTTAAAGACCACATAGATTAAAATACGTTTAAAATTTCTTTCAAATATATATATATATATATATATATATATATATAGATAGATAGATAGATAGATAGGCTTTAACATCTACTAGTAAGTGATCGTGTGTATACATTGGAATAATATTACGATAGAGAAAAAATGCGGGGAGTATATTTTTGTTATTTTACTTCAAAATATTGCTAACAAATTTTGCTTATGCCAAATTTAATGTTAAGCATTTTGTGAAATTGGAACCACCCCGAATTTAATAGCCTTAAAATACCTAAATTACATAGTATTTGGATTTATATTTTTTTGAGTCCAAAAACCAACTTAAAGATGAGTTTTGATTACTTTGCCCAACTGATTAGAAAGGGATTTTATAAAAAATCTTACAGATGCTAAAAACTTGTGGATTTAGTTACAGAAAGTAATCTGTTCAAAGAGCCAGTTTTCAAAAGTTAAGTTTTATATAGATTAACTGAAAATTACAGATTAACTGGAAATAAATCAAATATAAATGCTAATATGTTACGTAATATGAAATATGGCCGTACAGTTTCTTCACAGATGAAGAGGAGACGGAGAAGCATACTGAAAATACTCTGGACAGAACATGTGAGCAATGAGAAAGTCTTGAGTTTCTAAGGTCAATCATATCTCTCCTCCATTTTCTATCTTTTATACTTCTAAGTAATATTTGTCCACTTACTATGCATCCTAGTCCCTGTTCAGTCATCAATTTACACAACAAACTCGTTAAGTATGTTACTCGTTATTTCTATCTACCCAGTTTGACTTCATTATGTCCTGTTTTGAGTGTTAAATTCTTCAAGCACTCTTTCTTTTTGTTTCCATTTTTCTTAAAACTTCTTCACTGCTCATATGATCTGTCCATGGTATTCTCAGTTTTCTTCTGTAGAACCACAAATCTGTTGCTTCTCGTCTCCTATTCACATATGAAGAATTTGTTCAGAAATTGCTGCTTTTATTGTTTCTATGAGTTTATACGTATCGTTAAAAATTATGGAAATTGTTAGAAACTTTTAATATTGAGATACAGTAAAACAATTTTTTTTTTTTAATTTTGAGGTTCAATAAGACGGAGATCCAGATTTCCAAACGGAATTAGAGGTCAATAAACCATTTAAATAATCCGTTTTCTTTACGATCAGTGGTGTCTAATTCATTTATTATTATTGGTATTATATAACTCACTTTTTGCTTTATTTCCATGTTTAAAAAAAGTCACGTTATATAACTATGACTTGAAATGGAAACAGCACCAGAGACAAAGATGGTGACAACAAAGATGGTGACAAGACCAAGTTGAAGCAAGACGACAACATAGTACACAAAGATATCTGAGTGGTTTCTTAAATAAGTCTTAAATGTAAATGAGACTGAACTCTAAAAAACGTAGTAGTAAGGGAATTGTACATTTTGCTCTGGAACTAATTTTGTATAAAGATAAATATTTTATTTGGCTAGATTGTTAAAATAACTAAATAACCACTCATAAATTTACTACCTTAATTTTATTTATCTTCCTTCTCACTTGACACGAAAGATATACATAAATAAAATAGACAATAGTAATTATTATATAGTAGATGGCATACGTTCAAGTAGAAGCATTCTTCTTTTCCGCCAAATAATGACAATTGTTTTAAATTAAACATTTTGCTATTATTTAAGTTTTAGTAACGGATATTCTTAGAGCTTTTTCTTTCCATTTTTCCTTAAACCTAAATCGTAAGTTATAATTTTTAATAATAATGAATAATTTAACAATTACGTAATAATCTTATTTAAAAATATTAAGAATTATAATATAAATGTAAAATTCCTTCCTTCCTTCCTCAGATACCGTACGTGATATACGCTTGGGTGAAAATCTCTTTTTACGTTTCATGGTTGACTTAGCAGAAGAATTCCCACAGTAGGTTGCCGTTACTCTCTGCGGCAAACTACAGGGTGTTCCAAAAATCACGCGACAATAGGCAGAAAACATACACTTCTGAAATAGCAGCCAAGAAAAATTTGCATGGCATCATCTTCCATAATTCGACCAATAAAATTTCTTAATAGTATATTGTCATATGATTCCATTTGGTAAATAAAATTTACAAGGTTATCAATGGCAATGCAACTTTTGCCAAGTAAGTTTATAAAACCCAGTCCGTCCTGCTATTTAACCCATAACTGGGGGAGAAGAGATGAATTTATACCTTTCCTAGGTGTATTTATGCGTAAGTGTATGTCATAAACGCGAGTGGAATTCAAACACGGCTCTCTAATTTTTAATTCATTACACATCCCCCAAGTTTACAGAACATTGTATTTCCAAGCGGTCACCTATCTAGGTACTAACCAGGCTCATAGTTGTTTAACTTCGGGGGTCAGACAAGAACTGGTGTTTTACCTTAACATAATATAATATAATAACCACAGGCTGAGTGGTTGACATTTCATCACATTGCTGTCTTTGACATTTTTTTTAATTCGAAATAATATATAAATATTATTATATAATAAGTGAAAAAAAATGATAATAATAATGTTTTATGAAAATACAACATCATGATACGACATAAGTTACATAAACTACTAAGTCTCAAAAACTGAATCCTAAATACATCAACTCATATCCTAATTTTCTTCCCTTTTAATAGATTTCAACTAACCCCATCCGGAATATTGAAACATAGACATTGCATGCTACATGCCTTTGTTCCATTCAATGAGCTATAATGCCAGGGATGATTTTTAAAGGAGATGTTGTGTAAAACATGGCCGCTGCCAGGCAAGTCAAACTTTTGCCTTGATAACTAACCTATTCTTTTAAATGATCCGGTGTGTGGTACGCGTTCGGCACGGCTTGAAATGTCAGAGATTACATCGCCGTGTATTTGACGGCTCTGAATATGCAAAGACACGGGACTCTTGTTCGTTAATCTTTATAAGCTAATTGGAGGTGCGTAGGACCACCTGTGACGCGCTAATGCTGCAAACTGTTCCGTTATCTAGATTCCTATACGGTAGTCGAACAAGTTCATTTATTTCTTCTTCTTCTTCTTATTCTTCTTCTTCTTCTTCTTCTTCTTATTATTATTATTATTATTATTATTATTATTATTATTACTACTACTACTACTACTACTAGATCAAATTTATTGTTGTTATTTATGTTTCTGTTTTTGTTTTTCGGTTATCGCAGAAAGATTTTACTTACTATTATTATTAGTCTAACTTTCTTATATGTTGCTACTGGGATAATGTGACTTATGAAAATTAACTTTGCTAACATTTTTTAACCGAATATTTGGTCATAAATGTGTGTTGTGGTGTAATAGATATCGGATCGGAATGAGAAATCTGAGAACAGAGTTCGAATTTTAGTCGGGTTCGATACATTCACTTACGCGTAAATAACTCTAGAAAAGGTATACATCCATCTATTCTCCCCTCCCAGCTACAGGTTAAATAGCAAGCGAGACTGGGTCCTTGATTAGCAACCAGTCCACAGCAGAAAGAATCGGCAAGCTATTGAGGGAAAATATTCTGCCTAGTGAGTCATGAATCGAATCGCGTAACTGACTGGTTATAAACACAGCATCGCTGATAATATGAAAAAAAAAGACAGGGAGCAGAAAAAAAAACAGTTAAACCTTCATTGATGAAAAAGAGTTCGATATTGAAACAAAGTCTCTACATATTCAGAAGGTCGAGAAAAAGAATAATCACCATTTCAAAGACCTACATGATTTCAATAATACTACCATTAACAATACAAATTTGTTATACAGGGTGCGGCAGAAATACCTTCCACATAATAGTAACCCATTAGCTGGATGAAGACAATATTGAAACTAATATCTTAACATTATGTGGAAGATATTTCTACCACACCCTGTATAACCAAACAATATATCAGATTTTATTAAAGTCAATTTTTTCAATATGTCAGATTATATTAAAGTCAATGTTATTTTTCGAGTCAACAGTGTGTAACGGATATCGGCGACGAAAGTGGAATCAGCGAGCCGAGTTCAATTTCCAACCAAGCCTGTTGAATTCGCTTTCGCATAAACACCTTTGGAAAAGGCATGACTCTCTCTCTCTCTCTCTCTCTCTCTCTCTTTCTTTCTTTCTTTCTTTCTCTCTCTCTACCACTCCCATTTCTAACCAGCTATGAGCTAATCATTACCGTAAACTGGTCCCTCTAGCCATGTACGTAAACCAGTGTAACAGAAGAAAAACTTTGAATTTCCAATCTCAAATTCAGCAGGAAACCACTCCACCACAAACAAAGGAAATGAATCTGGAGATCGCTTACGCCCTTAAAGAAGATAGCGTTTAAAAATGTTATGGAGTTAGGTTTCATTATGCTAACAGACTAAGTGTAATGGTAATTTTCTAAGCGTAGTTTAGAAGTCGTACATGGCTGAAAATGGAAAGCATACAATCAGAATCGAACTTACTACTCAGTCATAATTGAAAAGGCAATACAGCATGCATTTTTACAAAAATAAAATATGCTGGTTAGTAAATGTATTTAGATTATTTTACATTGGACTATTTCCCTCAACTTTATTATCACAACCTTTCAGCTATTGTACCCTCCGACCTTGATCAGGTGTTGTAGATCTTGGTAACCCTCAGGGATTTCGAACTGCATTCACCCCGGCTTCACACTTTGCTGAAGTTTTTATTTATCAACGTCTCCCATATTGTATTTATGAAAAACAGCCTTGTTGAATGCAATCGGGCGCGACAAGCAAAGGTAATGTAAGCAACATGGATATTAGGTTTTAAATTTACCTGAATCGAGAAACATCTGAAGAAGGCCGGCGGGCACAACCGCCGAAACGTTGTGATAACTTCAAAACTGTGGAAATAATCAGTGTAAATAATGAAACTAATGATAAGGTCAAATTGGCGTCTGATCTCAGAAACGACCTACTATATATTATTAACTGGGGCAAAGAATAGCTTGTTAATTTATACGCCTCTAAAACCTTAAAACTGTTATCTGTTAATGATCTGAGAGACTCCCTCCTGGTTTCCATCAACATGGCTGATGCTAACCTCCAAGAGGGTGAGTCAATGCGCCTTCTCGGTTTAACATTCTCGACCGACGTGAAATGGAAAGACTTTATTGAATCTATTGCTAAGTCGGCTGCTTAGACAGTTGCGCCGTGCTAGACAATTTTTCTCTCCAGAATCTATCTTACATATCTATAAGTCTACCATTCGCCCATGCTTAGAATATTGCTGCTGCATGTGGTCTGCTGAACCTGCTATTTATTTAGTGATTCTTGATAAAATTTAAAGAATCAGCAATATTATTGGCCCTGACTTGGCATCTAGGTTTCAGTCACATTCCCACCGCCGTAAAGTTGTTTCCCCTATGTATTTTCTATAAATACGTTCATGGTAATGTTCGATTGAGCTTTTAGCTATGATACCTAGACTTTATGAATTTAAGCAGAGTCTCATCAATTTACAGTTGAACTGGATGAATGTAACCGTAAGTTATATACGCTAAAAGTTTCTTTTCTCGCAATTCTTAGTTGTGGAAGTCTCTTCCGGTTCCATGCTTTCCGGTCAACTTCGATCTTCAAAATTTTAAATGTAATGTCAATCGTTATCTAATATCTTCCTGATAACTCTTCTATTATTCTCGCTCCTTCATCATGTTTTCTGTTTTCTAATTCTATCGCACCAAGTAACCCCTTATGCCATAGTGGCTTTACTGCTTTGCTTGGTGTGAATGTGATTAAAAAACCAACTCCTCATCCCCGTAATTCAGTAAATTTAATATCAAAAATGGAAAAGAAAGTTAAAAAAATCGAGCAAACTTTTTGGCTACATAATAATAAGCTTAAAATTGTCTAACATAACACTACAATGGTGTAACTCTCTGTGGTGTTAGAATTATCTAAATAAACACCGCTCTGTGATACGAAAGTTCGGAATAAAAGCTCCGACTAGTATTGAAAAATGTGTGTCTGCGTATGTGCGTGTGTGTCCAGATAGTGTAACGTGTAGCGGCTCGGAAAGAGAAATCGGTAAGGCGTGCTCGAATTCCGGTCGATTTAGACACATTCATTTTTGCACAAATGCCTTTGGAAAAGGTATAAATCTTTTTCTTCTATGGGTTAAACAGGACTGGATTCTCCGTGGTTGAACCAATGTCTTTATCGCGATTTGACTGTATATCATTCATATAAATATATTCTAATAAATAAAACAGATAAAGAATATTTGCTAAAGCGTTTGCTGAGTTTTTCTTGGTGTTGAATTGCTTTCTCAGATGAAAACATGTAATAAACTATTGAAAGATTGATTTTTACATTTTATCAATATTTTATAGTTTATTTAAAGCGGGAAAATATTTTTATATTGTAAGAAATTTTTGAACGCAGTCATGATTTACTGATAAAAGTTCTACTAACCTATAGCTGAGGGAAAAGAAATGAATTCTTACTTTTCCCAAGAGCATTTACACGTAAGTAAAAATAACGAACCCGGCTGGAATTGGAACTCGACTCTTCGATTACCAATTCCGAACCGTTATCCATTACACCATCCACACACCCAAGTTTAAAGCACCTGGTATTCCAAAGGTGTCACCCATCTAGGTACTGACGTGTTTCGACGTTGCTTGACTTTGGTGATCGTATGAGAACACATGTTTCAACATGATATAGCCGTATGAGTTGTAATAGAACTTACTGAAATTCATTGGTGAGTTTCAAGCAGTTTTACCCGTTGTTGGTGGATTTCAAGAAAAAAAAATGGAACGCCTACAAAGATGGCGTTTTAGCTGTCTGTTAAACATTTTAAATGAACACGCGCTATGGTTATGAATGAACAAGCGTAAAAACGAAAGTCCCACTTATTAAAGTTGTAATAATCTCCATTTTTTATCCTACTTCAATCTGTCCCAGCGAACTTTAAGAGCACTCTCAATATAGAAATGTAGCAGCTGCTTTTTTCGTTTCACTTGAACAGCAGCAACCGACCGTGACAAGAGCCTACTACTCTTAGGTGCTTAATACAAGGTGTGGTTTTAATAATCGAGGGATCGAGGGTTTTATCAATATGCAATAAACGTGGGTTAATAAAAGCCAAGGTCGAAAAATCATTAAATCATTGGATTTAATAATTTAAGGGAATCGGAAAATTTTCTCAAAAACAAACTTTCACTCCACGCTTATCTGCGAGCTGACTTTCAAACTTCATTGATGAACATCTCCCGACATAGGCGACTGCGTAAGACATCATTGAAAAAGGCGGTAGATATATGAGTAGCTGATGGCCTCGCCTTTTCCATTGACAAGACAAATGATTCCATTCCCCTTAGTGACTGGCAGCGCTTTTTATATTTTCTTCGACTTGTCCGTGGTGAAATGTGCA